CATTTTTGACAGTATTTTCTGGGTTCGATTTATTGATATTTTTGTTTCGCATTTCTTGTGATACCATGATGGTATTGCTGAGGTTATAGTTCCATAGTCAAGACAGATCGAGCGGTGGAGCATCTGTGGGCGTAAATGTTACGTGCGATTCAACCTCCACCGGAACAGAAAGTTCCTCCTCATGTCAGCAGGTTGCCATGCAGATCTTTCTCTCTTGCAAATCACTCCCTTTCTTGATCGTAACTGAACCACAATCACTTGTCTATTACTCCCTCTCTCCCGATTGTTGTATTAACCAAAAAAAAAGAAGCAAATAAAATCTACTTTCATATCCTCAATAAATCCTTAACACATTCAGTTTTGTACCAGTGTTCTCATTACTTGTCTCTGCCTACTTTTTCTACTATGTCATGGTAATATGTGTTGTTCACCCACTTATCCACTGATCTTTGTTTTTCTTTCATGTAGCCCAACTGCTATGCAAAAATCATTACTGTCGAAAGCAAAAAGAAGATAGTCATCTATTCAAAACGTGACATTAATGTCATGGAGGAAATTACCTACGATTACAAATTCCCGTACGAGGAAGAAAAGATTCCCTGTCTTTGTGGTTCATCTGGTTGCCGTGGCACTCTGAATTAGGAGTTTGAAGAACCTAGGGTCTCAAGTAATTCAGATGCTCAGTCGTTTCGCAGTCGACTGTACCTTCGGTCCACTGGGTGATTGAATACCAAACATCTGTCAGCCGTGCATTTGCGCTTCGATTCCTGTATCTATCTTATGTATGTAATGTTATCCTCCCCGTATGTTCCTCAGCCTTGTCAATGAGTTCGCATAAGATTTTTTTCTGTCCAACCTAAACAACGCAGTTGCGAGACTGTCTCATCCTCCCTCGCCCTTTCCACAGAATCTAATCAAGCGGTTCGCTTCAGCTCTGTGACTGAATTGCTTCTGTTGATTGAAGCACGAATGGGCTATGCCACATGTAACTTACTGTCCATGGACTAGACTCATTTGCAATTTATATTTTTCATATCACTCCAAAACAGTCCGACCTCCTGTAGCAGTTTGGGTCTTCCGCTTGGTTGTTCATTCCCAAGGCGTTATTTTCTCTGTGGCCACATCGGTTCTTTCTGTTCACCACGCAGCAGGATGATGTGCCTTCGAAAGTTCTGATAGTTGACAACTGGGAAAATGGCTGTGTCCTGTATCCCGTTCATCTCAACTCGAAAATTCCCAGTCCTACTTCTAACTGCTGTTTGATATATCTACAAGAAAACTTCCTTGGTGGCAATTCACTTGCTGTCTGCCAGTCCAGTGGACATCGAATGATGTTTTTCTTGCTCGCTCAGTTCGCTCTTACTCTTTCTTTATTATGACCTTGTGAATTGAACCTGGCAGTCCAATGTGATTCCCTTCCCTCATCATAAATGAAACTAAACCTGAATTTGCTCCCTTATCTAACTGGGATAAAACTTCATTAGGGTGTTTTGCCAGTATCCATTCAAGGTTAGATTCAGGGTTATCAAACGAAGTGATAAATTAGTGCACGTTGTTTCTACTGTGCAAATTTCTGGGATCATATTCTTATTTCTGCAGTGATCGATCTTACCCTCAAATTCGTTTTTTCTCGTAGTGGGTTTATTTGTTGTTTTAAATCACTCACCTATATTCACCTGGCAGCGCACAAATATCAGTAGTTCTGATGGAGCAAAAATAAAGTATTCTAATCTGCCCGGGTCAGCATAGGAACCGGTAGCGTCTGTAGTGTCTACTCTGAAAAGCCTTGAGGTCGAGAAAAGTGGTAGACCAAAATGGCTTCCACATCAGGGATCTACCAAATACTGTTTGAACTGATACGCTGCATCTGAGCTGGTTACATACCGATCAGCGATAAAAGTGGTCAGAGTATGCACAATACACAACAACGAATTGACTTTTGAACAGTTTAACTGGCCTGGTGCTGGTGCAGTTCTTCCGGCGGTAACACATGAGCCTCCAACAGGACTACAAATACGAGCTGTATTCAATCGCGAAGGAAAGGAAAAGCAGCGGGACCACATTGACCACTCCTCATTCTTTTCTAGTTGGAGAGGTGATTATGGTTCAGTAGTTTACTTCACAGCATTTGGTCGGCAAACGGTATACCTTTATCCTGGGGCGAATCGTTGATGACACCACGACTGTGCAAACCATCGTGGGATAAGTTTAATTCTGATCATAAAAAAGTATTAACTTCTGTGATAACTTGCCGCCTGAAACCCTTAAGGGAGATAAATATTCGCGAACACTGAGCAGGGTTCCGACCAGGTAGTGGTTGCATCGACCAAATCTTTACTTTGCGTCAAGTCCTTGAATTGCGTCACACAAATCGTTGGTCAACAATCGCAGTGTTCCTTGAGCTAAAAGGAGCCTTCAAATCAGTTGACCGCAAAGCCCTAATAGATTCACTGCTTGGCATAAGTATGGAGACCTATTGATTTCACGATGCTCGCACATCTCTTTTGGCGTATTGATCTGCGGTGTTTGTTAATGGTGCCCTATTTCATCATTCCTGTTAAATCTCGTCATGGCAGAAATGCTGGCGAGCGAAACAAATGGTCTCGAAAATATCGGCGTCGAATGGGTAGCTAGAGAAAAGCCATTCGATTTGGAGTATGTTGACGGTATCGTCGTCTGTTCGAATGTGGAAAATGTGCCAAGCGCCTGTAGTGTGTACTTTGCACCTTCAAGTAATGCTGCAAGACGGTGTTGTCTACCACAGCCCTGATGCTCGATAGTCAAGAATTAGTGCAGTGGATAGCTCCACCCAGTAAAGTCATGTAATAGCTCCATACACCGAGAGGGGGATATTCAGCAACCGCGGTGTGTCAACAACAAAAAACATAACGCTACACCAATTAAAGGACTTGAAAAAGGATAGCAACATCAGAAACCAAGGGCATACCCGAGTGTTTATGATTGATTTAGTTTAGCGTGTGATGCAGATTTCATGCAACGAGTATATGGTTTGTTAAAAATCTGGCGAGATATAATACAATAGACTGCCTGTAAGCTTCACTGCGTGTCTTTATAAGTTTGTAAGTGGAACGGGTGGATGAGTGAGAAAAGTACTGAATAAGGGCGGAATAAAGAGGATGGGAAATATTAGATAAAATCTTGTTGGATAATGTTTTACAGGACTTGAGGTGGTGTCACTACATACTGTACCAGATGTTCCCGTGGTATGAGACTACAACCCTACAGAAACTTGAGGGATCGGCGAGTGAGTTTGAGGTTCTTGTTAAGAAGAACAGGGAACCGATAAAGCCAGTGGGGCCAAACTCAAGAAAAAACAAAACGTCTCATGAGATGGTTTGGAATGGAAAGTGATTTAAGACGTAAAACATAAAATGTGAGCCTCCTGGCCTTCAGAAAAACGTCAATAACGTGGTCAGACCAGGTGAGGCTGCGGTTGAAAATAACGCCAAGGTATTTGACAAACGGTTGTCGTTTCATCTGGTCACTGAGGATAGATAAAGGCGGGATGGCATTTGATAATTCATCAGACTTTTGCTCTTTCCAAGAGGAAAAAATTACTTCATATTTTTGGAGGTTCATGCGAAGGTTCCTTTGTTGAAACCACTTAACTATTTCTGACGTCTTCTTGTAGAGTGGTTTGAAATCATGAGTTGCGGTAGGGCGGTTCGAATATTATATCGTTTGCATACTTAACGAGAAGAGAAGAATTGCTCACAGGCATAGAGGAAATGTAGGCAGAAAATAGAAAAGGGGATAAAATAGCGCCTTGTGAGGAGGGCAGCAGTGAAGATGTACGACCTTTGTGGCGTATGAACTGCTGACGGTTGGAGAAATAGTTGGTAAATGGTTCAATCTCAGAAGGTTAAACTCCGTCCGAAGAGAGGGTATTTAGCCAAATTTGTGGATCAGTTGTGTTAAAAGCATCACTGTAGCCAAGATAACAAGCGGGCAGCCTTGTTTTTCTTATCCAGGCTGGATAAGACAAAGTGGGACAGGTAAGCAAGGGCATTCAGGGTACCGCGGAAATGGGTGTTTGCAAACTGGTTCAGGTCACCAATATTGAATTGTGTGGACAGGGTCTAAATGAGGAGCCTCTCAAAAACCTTCAAAACAACTGAGGTGCAGGCAATGGGACGGAATTTTGAGGATCCTTTATAAGGTACATAGGTGATAGAGGCTATTCTCCAGCAGTCGGTTACACGTTGCTGCGAAAGACAATCATTGAAAAGTTCACTCAGTACAGGGGAAAGGAAGGCAGGACATTTAGGACAACAGGTGGGGCTCCGTCGGGGCCGAAGGACTGGTGAGGACGCCTCCGAAGGTCTCAGTTTGGTGTCTAGGGTTGCGGCTGGTTACCCTTTCATTGCACCTCGCAAAATGCTCCCATACGACCAAGCGTCTCAAACAGCCTCTGCTGGGGAGGCCTTACTCAGTGCCTTCTCGTGGCGGAGGTATTTCCCACCAAAGTAGGAGGACTAAAAGCTGTCATCCGGGGTTATAACCGAGTCGATGAACCACTGGTATTTCACCTGGGGGAGTTGACCAAAAACGTTGATTCCGAACCAACCAAGAGGAGGCGTACGAACGACACACCTTCCCGGCTGTGGCAGTGGTCACCGGCTCGCTTGGGCACCTTGGACGCTTGACTCCCTTCAAAGGGCGTATGATCCGATGAACTGGACACCGGCCCCCAATGGATTGTGGTTTTCACACCGCCCGCTGCTTTGCGGGTTAGGCTTTGGCTAGCCGAAGGCTTGTGGATTCGTTAAGAAAATTCACCTACATTTCTCTGGGCAACCTGGCAGTATTCAACCCACAAGCCAGTCATGAAACGTTTTTCTTTTTGATAAAGATTATTGTACCATGATTTACCAGGCACACAATTTGTCCTTAGACAAGTGTGAAATAAGATATATATATATATATATATACACTTGTGAGAGCGGTTCCATTGCTGATGAAACTCTGATTCAGACCATGTGTCCACGACAGCAGGTGCACGGTGTGTGGATTTGAGTAGTCTCGTGACAAATGACGGTAGCAAATCAAAAGAAGTAACCGCCCGCACTTCCACGGCACGAGCATCATGCGAAGGACTGAAACACCTTCAGCGCCAACCTGGTGTTTCCTTGAAACTAAAAAGCTGCGCCACTGTGTAGCCAGTTTTGCATTTAAGGCATTCATCGCATAGAAGTCATCGACTGTAAATGCTCTTTTAGTTCAGTTCACGTGAGACAGAGTGAACGGTTAATCTTGAGCTAAGTCGTTGTGTTTGTGAGGGGATGAATTTCCTAGCGCATCAGATTAGTAGACTTCGCTTTTTGGGCACGTATTGCGGATGCCCTGCTATCGTCTACCGCACCGCGCCTCATTGACTGTAGCCGCTCCAGGGTGGAGGAAACCACGGGAAAGTCAACAGAGGACGTGGAGACCAAGTATGAGGAAATTTACGTGACTGTGAAGTAGAGTAGATGTGTCTCGTCTTTCAGGCTGAGATGAAAAATACGCTGCCGTGAGTTGGTGGGAGACACCGGATCGTATGGCAGGTAGCCAACAGCAGTGGCGTCCTTAATATCATTTTTTATCAAGTCAGAATGCTTGAAAATGGATGACTTACAGTT